TATATATATATATATATATATATATATATATATATATATATATTGGCTTACAATTAAATAATTTTCGACGTAGCTATTTGCGCTTAACGAATATGACATATGACATATTTACTGCGCATTGACATTAACTTCCAGGCAATTGAAAAAAAATATACAACTCCAATAAATCAATTCCCATCTTGTTCAATTAACAGAAAAGACGAGAAAAGAAAACAACTGATTGTGAGATCGCATTAAACGTAAATTCTGCGTTTGAGTGAATCCTCTTCATCTCAAATTATGTCGCGCTTCACTGGGACAATTTTTAACCCATTTATATCTCGTTTAGACAGAATCTCGATGGTGTTCCGTAATCTTTGATCGCACGGGTCGACGTAACGGGCTGCCACATGGCGTTTTACGTTGGCGTGCGCCCTTTATAGCGATTGTACGCTTCGAACTCCCCGCGGGGACAACCTACAACCGCTTAATTCTGCCCGGCGAGCAGAGCCCGTAACGGCGTAATATCGTTCAGTTACTCGGAATACTTTTATTACGGCATCGCGCGCGGAAGCGCGGCGCGTGAGGAAAGAGGGGGCGGCTAAGACTGAGGGGTTGGTCGGCGGCGGGGGTTGGCGGAAGCTTCCGGGCCTGCCGGGCCATGCTCACGATATAACGAGGGCCATTATGATAAGCGGATGCATAGATTAGACATTACTCGTTAACCCGCCTGCTTGTGACGCAAGCTCGAAGGACATACCTACAACCTCGCGCTATCAAAGGAGCTCGATGAGAAACTGACGACCCACACCGTCAGCGTGGTGGCTCCAATTATGGTTTACCGTAAAATTGATTATTCGCCATTTTTTGGATAGATAAAAATGAATTAATGCGTCGAACATATCCAGAACGCTGTAGATAATTTATTAAATTCTCGCGGATTAGAATGAAAACTTGCGTTTTAAAAATATTTAAATGTACCATAAATTAACAGGTGATAAAAAAATATTTGATTAATATGACGCTAATTTAATAGTTTAATGTTTCACTTTTAGACGTTAATGCTATATGACAAAAGTCACAGCGTCATGATCAATCGATCGATCCACGATCTTGAATCTTGCACTAGTCGAGGCACGGCTTATTTCGCTCATCGGTACTCGGCAGC